ATGTAGAAAATATCCGTTGCAATAACCTAATTGTGGGTGCTTTGGCATGAGGAACAAAGTTATCTGGAGCAAAGGAGCATCAGTGGTGGCAGAATTAAAACAATATACTTTTATAGTGCTAACAGTGTAGATCTGACAAGGATTCCCTCAGGGATCACTGCCAAGAAGGCATTGCTCCTAGTGGATACTGAGCTATTCTCCCAGACTTCTGGCACCTCTGAGACAGGAGTAGCCAATGTGGTACCCTTCGTATGTTGTTGGGTTACAGTTCCCTTGCCCTTTGGCCCCACATTGACTGGGGTCGATGAGGATTGTACTCCAGCATCGGGATTACAGGTTGACTACCACTGCTTTAATAGGCCCTCATAGAACATAATACTTTGGAATAATGGAATCATAAGGTTAAAAGTGTTCCCTCAAACTGATGGGTCTTGTTATTTCTTCAATGCGGTTATTGAAGAAAGCCGAAGGAATCTGTGGAATCCCTAGGATCCTTTTAAAAATAGATTCTCTTTTGCTTTCTTCTTTTTTTGCCAACCACAACCATGGGCTAGGATGATCTTTTCCTAAAAGCTTAAACTGAAAGAATGCAGCTTAAGAAGCGAAACCGCACTGCTCTGCTTGTGAAGAAAGTGTGTTAGAAGTAGGTATGGCTAAATATAGAGCAGAAACTGTTAGTTTTGAAAGCTCTTGGCATCACAAATCCTTTTCTCACATTTGGCATGCCCCACATTATCTGCAGGCACTGAGTACCCTGTTGGCTGAAGCTGCCTCCTTATAGGTTCTCTCATTGAAGGTTTGATTTGTTGGGAACAGCAGCACATTGGCATAGGTCATCACCACAGTGGGGTGTGTGTGTTGTAGGTTGGTGATGTTTCAGAGGCGCCCTGGATTCTCTCTTCCAGTCTCTCAGATCAGCGCACTTTGTTGTGACCCCTTGTAAGATTCTCCTTTACCGTCACTAAGTTTCAAAGGGTATAGTGTTTATCCAGCTGGAAGAGGCGTTAATGCAAGGTTGCTGTTGCATCATTCCTGTGTAAAGACAAGAATATGCTTTTAAAAAAAATTAAAATAAATCTATCCTTCCTGCTGAATGGGAATTGGAATAGATGGTAGACATTGTGTAGTCAAAATGGTTCTGAAAAATACAATGAAGGCTGAAAAGCTCAGTTACTGTGTGTTGAGTAAGTATCATTTGTTTTGGGTGTTCTTTTCCTCTTTGATCAACAGCTTTGTAATATTTGCTGGTTCCATTTAACGGAAAGCTGGAAAAAGATAATGGATTAGACAAAAAAATACTGCTGCACTGCACAGCATTGGGCAGATGAGAAAAGTCCAAGGCACTAGGCCTTTAATTTCTATTATACACAAGCCAATTAGATTGTGTTGTTTGACTTCCTTCCATTTTTGTTATGTTTTATTTAAAAGAGAAATGAAACAGCCACAGAAAATAGGCCCTTTCTGGAAAATGTGTACTAATGCATCACCATCAGATTGATGTATGTTGTTTGCACAGTCACCTTTACAAGTGATTGGCTGGGAGTCAGCAGTTAATGGATTAGGGACAGTGTTGTGCTACAGATGGTTTCCTGAAAATGATTTTCGATTGTAAACATGCGTGTGTCTATTTTGGGGGGCTTCCCTCATTAATTATGTCTTTTGAGAACGAATTGCTTAAGAATGTGCAGTTTATGTTCTGGAAACACTTTTCAAACTGATCACCTCATAAAAAGCCATCTGCATAGTTGCAAATTTATGTTTATGTGTTTTCTGATAATTAATTTTCAATCACACATTTAACTGCTCTATCATTTCATCGCTGCCCTGAAAACAGTGGGTTGAATCCAGAACTGCCCTCCTTCTATGCATGCAAAGGGCTTTGGAGAGGCTTTCACTGGAGGCAGAGATGCTGGTTTGCCTTCTGCTTGCCCTCCCCCCACCCCACCCTGTGCGGATTTTCACAGGAGGCTGAAGAGGTATGGGGAAATTGGCAAAAATGGCGACCGTGGTTTCCTCCAGTGGGAATGTCCTATGAGTGAAATCTTGCTCACAGGAAGCTGGATCCAACCCAGAGGCTTTTACCTCATTTGCATGCAACACTTTGTACAAAATGTACAAAACTGTGCATCTAGCTGAAGTAATTCATCTGTAGTAAATTAAATGAAACTCAGTATTCACATATGTGGATTTACACTAAAGCTAAAGGTGCAAAATCTCCTTTTTCTTGCTGACTTTGATTTACCTTTCATTTTTTTACATTTCTCAAACTTTAGCATGAAGGTTCATTGCAGAGTTTTTATTTGATCCTCCTGAAAAGAAACAGAATATATTTTGCTTGCATTTTGTTCCGGAACGTGTCTCTGCTGCATTAAATCTATGCTAGTGCTTGGTGTATGTGTTTTTCTTTTCTTGTTTTTATATATTTAAGGAACTGGATTTGGCCAGTGGACTGGATCCTTCCTTTCCTCACTCCAACTATGATGGGTGGGTGGGGCCGCCCACCTGTCAAATTTTAAAGGGACCAGCTGTCTGCTGATTGGTGCTGAGTGTTTGCTTTCTAAGGGGGTGGCTCTTAGAGCCAATTGCTTGCAAATGAACTTCAAAGGGGCGGCTGTCAGTACTCATCAGCTTATTGATGCCTAGGCATTTTTTTTAAAAGCTAACTCACTGCTGGGTATCTGAAGAAGTGTGCATGCACACGAAAGCTCATACCAAGAACTAACTTAGTTGGTCTTTAAGGTGCTACTGGAAGGAATTTTTTTTGTTTTGTTTTGACTATGGCAGACCAACACGGCTACCTATCTGTCACTGCTGGGGAGTCCCCGATGGGGAGCACCTTAGTGCACCCAGTGTCATTGGTCTCCCTCTGTGTGCTAATCAACTGATGGGCACTGAGAGGGAGCCCCATTTACCACAGAATAATGGAGAGCACACCAAAGTGGGATTTTTGTGGGCATTATACCAGGTTTTCTGTCATTGTCAAATTTTGGGTTATCTCACTTTGTTTAGCATAAATGATTATATGGGTAAAATTCAAGTAAATGGTCACCTTGTAACTAGAGTGCCTTGTGGCTTTGATAACAATAAATAGCATTTTTTTTTAAAAAAAAATTAAATTGATAATATGATGTTAATGAGACAGCCACCAGCAATAGCCTCATGTACAGCATTTCTAATGACTCGCATGAGAGTGTTGGCATCTCTAGCACTACAGCATTGCATTGGTTTGGGCAGCGTAAATACTCAATGATACAATCTTAAAATCTTACCTTAACTTTTTCATTTATTTAAATGATTACAGTTTCAATCAGTTCAATTCAGCAGCCCAATAAAACCTGAATAATACATTTAAGCAGATGGAATTAATAACTCCTTTAGAGCTCTTCTAAAGGCCTGCAACACTGGACTCTGATTTACCTCAATCAGCCACATGTTCCACACACGTGGGCAATGTTATCTTCCCCAGTTAATTCTTCTCCTAGCACCTGTCCTCGCTAAGGCGGCGTACTGTATACTAGTGACCACAGAAGAAGCTGAAATCCACAGAACTGCATTGATACAGAACTGTCATAAGGAGATAGCAAGTACATTGCAGCCAATGCATCAACAATACAAACCATGTTTACACAATTAAGGGAAGATATCTGGCGTCTTCCCACAGCAGGGAAGATTAGTTACTGCCAGAGGGAGGTTGGTGTGAAACTTTCACAGCTGCTCCCCTCCTTTCTCCTCTGTGATGATGGGAAATGAAGTAAGAGAAGCTCTTTAAAAGTACAAAGTTGGAAAATCACTGACCTAAGGAAATATAAATAGTTATCAAAGTACATGAGGAAGTCTTAATACAATGAAGCGTGGAGCACTAGTCTGCATATGCTAAGGTAATAACGCTAATTTAAACCTTGTGGGCAGCAGTATTTGTGCTCATCAGTTTCTACTAACTTCGAGGGGGCTCTTACATATGCATTATTAAAGGACAGAATGTGGCTCATTTGGTCAAATTTAATAGTTTAGATTTATGAACTTGTATTCGTGAATCTTCTGATTAAGATGGCTGTTTGGCTAAAAATAGATGCTTTAGGGTATGTGTGTGTGTGTGTGTGTGTGTGAGAGAGAGAGAGAGAGAGAGAGAGAGAGAGAGAGAGAGAACGCACACACACACAAATATTTCCATTCTTTGGATTAGCTTCATCAAATATAACATATTAGAGACGTTTTTGCGTGGTTCTGGTATTTTGATTGCCAAATTCATTGGTATTTTATGCTACCCATTTTGAATTAACCTTTTTTTGTTTGTTTGTACATTGCTGAGACAACCCAGTTGTGGGTCAATTAACAAATGCTAATTAAAAAATAAATGTGAAAAGTTCCAGTGAGCTAGCTGAGCTGAAATTTTAGTTGCCAACATGACGCAAAACAAAAGAATTTCCACAATGTAACTTTTTGTTTTTAATAGGACTGGTCTGACATCAGTGTAACAAAATGCTTCATGGTTTTGCAACTTGGCAGTGTGACCAGAGTGCCTTTCTGATAAATTATGCAGTTAGATTTGTGGTAGACAGAAAGGATGTGTAATATTTTTTTGCACGTTGACTACAGTCTTGTTTGAATTTGTAGAATTTAGGATGAAAAAATAAGAGCCAAACCAGAAACTCTTTGTTTTAGCAGGCTTGAACAAATCATGAAACTGAGAAAGAATGGGGAAGATCTGGGTTTATGCGTGCCCCTGCATGTGCATGCCAGTTTTCTCAAAATCTTTGAAAGCATACAGGTCCAAGTGCTTGGCTCCCCACAAAGTTCCTTATTGTCAGTTACACATGAGAGCTGCAATTTGGATTGGCTAAATATTTTTCACTGTTGGATCCATTACTTTTCTGCTAAATACATGTGGAGATTAGGCTTTGAGTTCACGTTCTTACTGCTGCTGGAAAGCTGTAAGATGTAAATGCTAAGAAAAAACAAGACAAGTTTCGCTGAACTGTTTTATTCCTTCTCCTCCTCAGTGTCTGAACTACAAGAGGAAGGAATAAATGCCATTAACCTACCACTCAGCCCAATCCCTTTTGAACTAGATCCTGAAGATACTATGCTAGGTAAGTTAAAATACATTTTTGCTTAAACTAACTAATGGATGGAAACAAAATGTCACAAGCCTACCTTCTTTGTAATGGATATCTCCTATTTCCCCATTTCCACCTCCCTAAAGAGGAAAATGAAGTCCGAACCATGATTGATCCAAATTCAAGAAGTGACCCAAAACTACAGGAGCTGATGAAGGTAAATATGTAAGCACGTTCAAACTCTTCTAAAAATACAAAGCCAAGGAAATATATGTATTTATTTGTTGCATTTACGGTATATCCCACCCTTTCTTCAAGGAGCTCAAGGTGCCGTACATGGTTTCCCCCCTCCTTATTTAATGCACAAAACAACCCTGTGAGGTAGGTTAAGTTGAGAAGCAATGGCTGGCCCAAGGTCCCCCATAAAGCTTTATGGCCAAGTGGGCATTTGAACTCTGGTATCCCAGCTTCTAGTCTCACACTCAAACCACTACACCATGTTGGCCAACCACTGTGAGAGCAAGGAAAACCACATAAGGATATAGAATTGCACTTTTAAGTTGCGGTTCGTGCTACTCCATCAGTTTTCCTCTTTACTGGCTGTGTAAGGACCAAGAACATCAACCTTGAAAAGCTTGTTCCCTGTTTCCTGGAGCAACCAGCCTGAGGATCCTTGGCTTCTTTAAGAGAAAATGGTTTGAATTCACATCTTCAGTGTTGAACAATCCCTACTCTCCTTTTCACCTACCTTTGTTCCCAGTTGGCCTGGGTAATAATCTCAAATATTTCTATCTTGCCAATTTGACTCTTATCAGGGTCTCCAATGCACAATAAAAAAATAAACATAGTCTAACATGAAAAAAACACAAACATAATCTTAACAAAAATGGTACATCTCAAATTTACAGTAGAAGCTAAAAGCCCTGCCAATGACAAAAAGGGCAAGCAAATTTGAATTTTTCAGAGCTTAACGTTGCTCCAAAAGCTTGGAAGATTAAGTTTCCACAGATGCTAGAGACTGAGAGGTAGGTGTGTGTGTGTGTATGTAGGTGTATTTCAGTCCCACTGCCTCTTCCGTGTTTGCATTACAACATTATTATTATTATTTTGCTATAACTCTGCCTGTTTATGCATTAACACCTGCCATATTCCAAGGCCTCAGGGTAGCTGGTGGTTATTTAATGTGAAATTAAAAGATTCCTGTCCATGAGGACAAAATCCCAGCAGAGTTGAAATCAGAAGGAATTGTTCTGTCTAATTTTGTACAATTAACATTTAATCAGACCTACTATTTGGAAGCACCCTCTGTCATTTCTGAGACCACGTTGCACAAAGTAGAAAGTTGGTTTGTGATGTACACACATATGAACTATTTCTGAATCTTTGTCTCTTGCACAGGTGCTAATTGACTGGATTAACGATGTTTTAGTAGGAGAACGAATTATTGTAAAAGACCTGGCTGAAGACCTGTATGATGGACAAGTACTGCAGAAACTCTTCGGTGAGAAATAATTTTATGCATATCACTGGAGACATTTTTCAGGTGCTTGTTTGTAGTTAGGAGTAACATAGGCACTGGTTTCCATTCCTTTATATTTGATATTGCTTCAGGCATCAGTAACTTATGTAGTCATCAAGATGGGATGGGACAAAGTTGGGCGAGCTCTGGAGCAGTGGTGGCCCTGCAGCAGCATGCACACCTGTAGAATACTCCCAGCACGTTTCCGAGCACAGTTCAAAGTGGTGGTGCTGACCTTTAAAGCCCTAAACGGCCTCAGTCCTGTACAGTGGTGCCAAGCAAGACGAAATTAATTCATTCTGCGAGGTTTTTCATCTTGCGAATTTTTCGTCTTGCGAAGCACGGTTAGTGGGACATTCCCGCGCTCTCCGGCCCGAGAGTGATGGTGGGGGCGCCATCAGGCCCGCAGCTGCTTCGGCTGCCTTCTAGCCGCTCCCTTGGCTAGTGGTTTCACGAGGGCAGGGAAACCTGCAGAGAGTGCAGCAAATGCGCCTTCCCCCTCCCGCCGCCGCCGCAGCAGCAGCAGGCCCGGGCTGGCCAATGAAGAGGGATGCACCTGCAGAGCAGCTGAGCTGGTGCAATTCTCTGCGCCTCAACACCACCGCCGCCCCCCGCCTCCACTCCGGCAAGGAGCTGCTGCAATGAAAGAGCCGCACAGGAGCGCATGCACTCCCGTCTGCTGCGGGGGTTCAGCACAGAGGCATTGCTGGTGCTGGTCCACGCTGTTCTCCTGAGCCACCGACCACCTTGAATTGAGGTCATCGACTTCCAACCTCAGAGAGGCATTCTGAATCACGTGCTCGCTAATGGACTGCTTCCCTCCCTCAGGGACATGGCAATAGATTCAGTAGACTGGTGGATACTGGGGGGTGGGGGTGGTGATAGGTGGAGAATGACTTAATCCATAGCAGCAGCACATTTCAGGGGGGGAAAGGCTGATCGAAGAAGGCTGATCGCCGAAGAATTGATGCTTTTGAATTATGGTGCTGGAGGAGACTCTTGAGAGTCCCATGGACTGCAAGAAGATCAAACCTATCCATTCTGAAGGAAATCAGCCCTGAGTGCTCACTGGAAGGACAGATCGTGAAGCTAGGGAAACAAACTTGCAAGACGTTTTCATCTTGCGAAGCAAGCCCATAGGGAAATTCGTATTGCGAAGCAACTAAAAAAACGAAAAACTCTTTCATCTTGCGAGTTTTTCGTCTTGCGAGGCATTCGTCTTGCGAGGTACCACTGTATACCTGAAGGAGCGTCTCCACCCCCATCGTTCTGCCTGGACACTGAGGTCCAGCGCCAAGGGCCTTCTGGCGGTTCCCTCACTGCAAGAAGCAGTTACAGGGAACCAGGCAGAGGGCCTTCTCAGCAGTGGTGCCCTTCCTGTGGAATGCCCTCTCTTCAGATGTCAAGGAGATAAAGAACTACATAACTTTTAGAAGACATCTGGAAGACAGCCCTGAATCGGGAAGTTTTTAATTTGATGTTTTAGTATATTCTGATATATGCTGTGAGCCACCCAGAGTGGCTGGGGAAATCCAGCCAGATGGGCAGGGTATTAATAATTGGAAATAAATGGAAAATCGGATGGAATTCTTAGGAGAACAGAGATGCAACAGAAGACAAAGTGTGATAGGCTTGAGAAGTTGCCAAATTTTGAGACTTCAAACCAGTTATCTACAGAAAATCCTTTGTTATATGTGGGACGGAATGTCTTTGCGTTGCACTTGGTACATGGAGTTGAGGTGTAGACTTACAGCTTTTTCTTCCATTATCACTTCAGAGAAGCTAGAGAGTGAGAAACTCAACGTTGCCGAAGTCACACAGTCTGAAATAGCTCAGAAACAAAAGCTGCAGACAGTCCTTGAAAAGATCAATGAAACCCTTAAACTTCCTCCAAGGAGCATCAAGTGGAATGTTGACTGTGAGTTACACATTTTACAGTGGAATTCTTGGTTACTGGTGGTATTGAAAGTTATGTTTTTCTGCTGTGTTTTGTAAAACGTATTGAATTAGACAGAAGCTAGAAGGCAGATTGAGCAAGTTTATATCTAGAATTGCGTAAGGTGTGCAAAAGTATAGATAAATATATATGTCCTCATTAGTAATGTACTTACCTCTACTGACAGTTGTACACATTACGTTTGATTCCACACACACTCCAGAGTTCCTGTTGCATGCACAGTATGGGCCCTGTACATACATGGCAGGGAACGAGTTCTTTTTTTAAAAAATTATTCCTGTTATAATCTCCTTAGGGACGCGGGGGGCGCTGTGGGTAAAAGCCTCAGCGCCTAGGGCTTGCCGATTGAAAGGTCAGCGGTTCGAATCCCCGTGGCAGGGTGCGCTCCCGTTGTTCGGTCCCAGCGCCTGCCAACCTAGCAGTTCGAAAGCACTCCCGGGTGCAAGTAGATAAATAGGGACCACTTACTAGCGGGAAGGTAAACGGCGTTTCTGTGTGCGGCTCTGGCTCGCCAGAGCAGCAATGTCACGCTGGCCACGTGACCCGGAAGTGTCTCGGGACAGCGCTGGCCCCCGGCCTCTTGAGTGAGATGGGTGCACAACCCTAGAGTCTGTCAAGACTGGCCCGTACGGGCAGGGGTACCTTTACCTTTTATAATCTCCTTATGGAACTTGCATTTTTTTAATTCATTTTTTTATATCCAAGGATTTATAACCCGTTTTTCCATATAAGAAGACTCAAAGCAGTTGGCAGCGTAGTTTCTAGAGTTATTTAATATTCAGGCATTGTACAATATAATCATTTTATTTATTATTTTGGCATTGTGATATATCCAAGATTGACACCCGCTCTCCCTCTCTGGACAGCAGTGAGAATTGACCAGCTTATTATTATTATTATTATTATTATTATTATTATTATTATAGTTTGTATACTGCCTTGTACCTGTTATAGTCAAAACATACAATTACAATGTAAAAAACAAAGTACATAATAAGAATGAAAACAAAGACAACCCAATAATCTGCCCTTCCACAACACATTTAATAAAAGGGCATTAGATGTCAGTCAGCCAAAGGCCTGGCTAAAGAGGAACCAGTAGCTCCCATAGTCCTCAGCACTCCCCTGTTCCATGTGCCACCTCCTCCTTCTCTCTGTACAGCACAGGAGGAGAGGGCTAGGGCGTGGCTCTTCCTTCTCCTTGCCTGTCTGCACTGGTGGCAGCAGAGAGCAGCAGTTGCTTGCCCACTGTCCCCTCCAGGCAGCAGCTGCTGCTCTCTGCTACTTCTTGATGACCCCCACCCCGCAAGAAGGCAAGTGAATGAGTGATGCCACTTGCAAGGAGCAACTGTTTCTCCTGTTTCTTGGCAAGTGATTAGCAGCAAGGAAGTGCAGCATCAGTTGCCTCTGGGCAGTGGAGCAGAAATAGGAACAGCCCTGCATATGGCAGCATCTGGGGGCAAGGGAAGCACTGTGACTGGAATCTTGCCAGCAGCTTCCTAAATCCCTGCATTTATTCCATTGGTTTCCCAGTTGGTCCAAAGAACTTTGAAGCGTGTACATTGGGACATCCCTTATCTTGCCTTTCAGCAGCCCATGGAGCTACGTAAGGTGGAAATACCACATTCCCATAAAGCTTCTTAGCTGGGAATGGAACCACCATTTCCCGGATCAAGCCCAATACTTAAGGCAATATGCCACACTTGATCTTAAAGAACATTGAGGTGGTATTCAGCTAAAATATATTTGAAGGAAACAGGACTGAAATGTGCTGGATTGCAGCCTGTGTATGCAGACTTTTTTCTGGCTAGAACCAATACACATAATTATTTTGACATTGGGTGAGTTGTTTGTTTTAAACTTGTATCCTTTTTATCTTTGCCCTGCAAGGAGCCTGCAAAGTTTGCCACTTGGAATATACTGAGTTTTAGTTCTGCAGAGAAACCTCTCCCCAAAACTGATAAATCCAGGAGAAGATCTCACTGGTTATTTTTCTGCTTTATTTAGAAACCTGTGGCCAACCTAAAAGTGTGTGGTTAATAAGATACCTAGAATCTTATGTTTATAGGACATTGCCTGAGAATTTGGTGATAATGTAGACCCAGGAAAACAATAATATAATACAGTTGTAAATCATTACCTTTGAAGCTTGGGGTTTGTTCACAGATTAAAAGTTTCCTGCAGTAAGCCTTTTGATACCTTTCCGTCTTGTTAGTGCTAACTATGCATACAAATCCTGCTGTGAATAAACTATAATAACAAGAACACTTAACAAGTTCATGAAGAATGTTTGAGTCATCCAGTTTAGTAAGTTATTGCTCAAGGGTACAAGCTAAATGGGCTCATTCATCTTCCTGCAGACATTGTGACACTTAAAAATGAATTAAGTGCATGTTATGAATACAAAAATATTCTTCTGATAGTTCATAAATCGACACAGGAATAGGGAAGATAAAGGCACGGCGCTGGGAGTGCATAGATAGCACTTAATATAGCGGCATAATAAAATCTGTGTTTTGAATCAAGCTTAGATTTCCATCTTCAAGCCAGTGGGATCCAGGCACGCAACAAAATCTTACCTGAGGAGTATTTTTGATTTAGTTGTTTTCATAGAACCAGTTGATTTATGGCAGGAAAGAGAAGGAGTTAGAAGAAAATACTCTTTCAGCAATCTCTGGCGGGCAGCAACACCAAAGGATAAAATATCCCACATAGTTAAGGAAGGGGGCACTGCATGTTAAAATAAATATTTGTTTTAGTTTGCCTTACAGAATTTGACTTCTTAATCTATTTCAGCTGTCCATGCTAAAAGTCTTGTTGCAATTCTGCACCTTTTGGTTGCGTTATCACAGTACTTTCGAGCCCCAATCCGACTGCCAGATCATGTGTCTATTCAAGTTGTTGTTGTCCAGGTAGGGATGATTGCATTTTTAAAAGATCTTTGTTTTTACACAGTATTTCAAGAAACGCAGTAACTTTTAACATGTATGTGTTGGTATGTATCAGTTCTGGCCAACACAAATAGTCAGAAGGACAAGCTTTTCCTTAGGCACAGCTAAGCATTGCATTGTCCTTCTTTGAAGGCACGACAGACCACTTGTAACATCGATAGCGAAGCATGTCAAATATAATTTTAGCTCAGAATGTAAGTGTACAGGTATCATGCATTGATCTCTGAAGTGAACGGCTGAGATACAGCATAAGATGAGTGGGCTTCTCCTTCTTCTTCTGCCCTTCCAGCCCACTGTGTGCCCCGCAAATCTGCTCAAATCTCTAATCTAATTTAATCACTTTCCTCATAAGGTTGGTGAATGGCTGTCAGTAATCTTACCTGCGATTTCCAGATAATTTTTCTCTCACAGGAGGCATTCCTTCCTGTTTGTTTCCACACAGGACAGGTGCCTTTTAGGCAACGAAGAAAGTCTCTTAGATTGTACACAAATAGAAATGATGTAATTTTGGAGGGGAGTTATTTTATATTTATGTTTATTTAATGGCATTCATATGTTGTAGTTATTTTACACAGAGTATGTTCATGTGTGTATGTGTGCATATATGTAAGTGTGTATGAATATATATATATCTGTGTGTGTACACACACACACACACACACACAAAATCAATAAATATTGGTGTTGAAAATATTAAATGATCAATCATTTCCCCTCATCCCCCAGAAACGAGAAGGAATCCTCCAGTCCCGTCAGATCCAAGAGGAAATAACTGGTAACACTGAGTATGTCAGCATTTCTGTTGTTTGATCTGCTTTGGAAATTCAATAATTTGCTAACGTTTAACCTTCATTCCTGGGGATTCTAAGAGAGGACTGCTTCGGACATGGCTTATAACTTAACTGTTAAGAAAGGTTCCACAACAGATAATGTAAACAATGTGGAAAGGGTGGCAACTGAAAATGTAAAAATGCTGCCGATATAGCAGTTTGCATCCTCAAGTATGCAACAGAAATGTTCCTGGTTATATGTATTTTAGGGTAGTTGTTTTTCCACATTCCGAGTTTGATTATTTCCACTTCAGAAAAGAAGCATACAAATAGATTGCTTTCCTCCCCAACATTTCAATGGTAGAGAGAAAAAAGTTTGAATCATCAGTTCTCCTTCCTTAAATGGCCTTCACCCCCAGGAAGTTTGTGATATTGCTGAAATGCTCAGTTTAATTCGAGTCGGTGGACATAATACAGTATTATTGAAAAGCCTGTGGGGCTATTCCTCAGTTGCTATGAATACAAAGTCATACATATGACCAGATGCATATTTACTCCATATATACTGTGCAGTTTTCTCTCTGCACTGAAAGAAATATATTAAATTACTGTAAGTGTGTGTACACATATAATTGCATTATTTCGCTTTCTACAGGGCATTGTCAGGACGGCATGGTAAGTCTCATTTGATTCCTAGCATTTTCAAAAGGTTTCTAAAGTGTACTTCACTTAATTCTGCTGCAGCTGCTTGTTTTGTTCAAAACCAGCTGTACATAGTTCATAGTTGTCTTGGTTGGTGTGTAAATCTTAGTGCTGTAAACCAAGAAGTCTGTATTCCAAAGTGGGGCAGGAAGGGGCGGGTTGGAGATTGAGAATAGTATATATTTCATAAATCAACACTAGCTTGTGCTCCCCCTTCCCCCCAAACATATGCTCCACTGTCCCAAACACAGGTGGTCTATGTTGCCTTCTGAATGCCAATTTCCTCCTCATGTTGGAAAAAGCTATGGAGAATTATTTCCTCAATATTGACAATAATCAGGCACTGGACACACGTGTGGATCTCCTGGGTGTGATCTGCAGTATCTTCCTCACGATCCAGAACAAGCCCCATAATTTTGGGAGATCTACTCTTAGTATATGCATAGGCAGTTTTACTTGCCAAAGGACACCAAACTGATGAAATTGGGAATCCTATTTTTGTGTGACGTGTCGATGTTTGCCTTGAAAGCAGATAATTTTACCTAGTAGTGTAGTTTCTTCGAGTACACTAACACAACACATTCTTGCATGTCAGTATTTTTATAGCACATTATTTGAGTGTCTGAAATGCTTTTCTTAAATGGTTGCTTAAGATTCTGCTAACGGTGTTGTGATCTTCCAGTACAGACTTTCCTTCCTGATAATCTGCTCCATGTGTACTATACTTAGAAATAAACCCATGTAACAATAGGTTAGCTTGAATGTGAATTTGGTAAATCAAGGTAAAGGATGATTTCGGTATAGCTATCTCAGACACAGAAAGTCTCAATAGCACTTGAGGCCTTCCAGCCCTGGAATTATCATCCTACAATGCTGCATTATCTAATAGCTTGTTGTTATTACGTGTGTTTCAGAAAGGGATGCATTTGACACACTGTTTGACCATGCTCCAGACAAACTCAATGTTGTGAAAAAGGTTGGAAATTTTCTTTCCTACTTAGATACTGAGCAAGCTAGCTTAATCTGAGTAGTTTTCCTCTCATATCTCTATCTTGATGCATAAGAGGAACTCCCCAGTTGTTCACCGTAAGACCCAAGGAAGCATTCTTGCCATTTTGGAGGGTTTAGAGCAGTCTCAGATATGTTTTCGTCTGTAGTTCATGCACTGCCCACGTACAGCACCTTCCTCAGGAAGTACTATTAGAACACGTTCAGAGCAGTGTTCAGATATACAAGCTCCTTGGGTCATAAGCCTGCTTGTCTATTTTAGTATGCCATACAGCCCCAAGTACATCTGATAGAGCTCTACGAATATTAGCAATTGCAAAATGGTGCAAATATAAAACCTTTATTAAGTCCTGGAATGGTGTACCCATTTTTCTGCTTTAATGAAAATCTTTGTCCTTGGCAGTGTGAATATCTGAAAGTTTTTCTCAACATTATATATACTTTCTCAACATTTTACAGACTTGGCACTATAAAAGTCAGATAGAGGAATTTCCATTTTATAGAATTTTGCAATATGATCTCCAGCTGATATAGATCAGCAGGGCTTCCTTGAAAAAGAACAGTGGCATGCCATTTTATATCAACTTACCTCTTGGCTACAGTGCTATTTTCTCTACTCTTCCATCATACCGCTGCAGCAATAACTCATATAGCTTTTAAAGTGATGAACAGTATGTATTTATTATTTGTTCAGTGTTTGTGATGGGGCTTGACAAAGTTGGATTTTTGACCAATGGATAAAACCATAAAATATTTAAAACTTAAAGCCTGTCTCTTATAAACTGACAAGTTAAGGAATTAAATAAACCTTTTATAAAATTATGAACTTTGGGTTAGCATTTCTACATGTTAACTTAAGCATACTTTTAAACAATTGAATTTTGCTGATCTAAAAGCAGCTACGTATGCTCTTAATTTTCAGACTCTCATAACATTTGTGAATAAACACCTGAATAAGCTGAATTTGGAAGTTACAGAACTGGAAACCCAGGTAGGATTATATAATTGTGTTAGAAGCAAGAAGTCGTTTCCTGTGTTGTTCATATATCCCCAGTTTATTTTGTTTAGGCTGTGTCAAGCTATTGCCAAGTTGTTTTGAGTTAGTTTTTTTAAAAAACAGACTTTGCTTGGCTAACATATGCAGGTTAACACAGAGAAATGTATTTGCCAGTTGTAACTATGGGTGCTGATAGGCACAAGCTGTGGGTAACCCAGAATGCAAGTTACCGGTAATATGCTTGCTGTGAGAAAACAAGAATCCAACTAACTAGGTTGAGTGGGTCAGCTGGAACCATTTCTGTGTACAGGTCCAGTACGCTAGAAAGGAGAAAATACATTGTTTTATCTTGCCCCTCCCCCTCATTCCATTTGTGTGCAAGTTCACACACTGAGTACATTCACACATAATGCTAAACCTAGGTTTAGTCGAACAGGGAAACAAACCACAAAGTGGCTGGCTTAGTGTTCTATCCAAACCAAGACTCACAATTCATTTCTCCGAACCCTGTACATGCCACAGAAGATTACACTTTGTGTATCTGAAGAAGTGGGGTCTGGTCCATGGAAGCTTGTGCTAGCATTCACCAGTGAGGAATGCTACATGTTTTGGACTGCAAGTTGCATCATTGCTAGCTAGCATGGCCAACAACAGAAGGGCACCAGTTGGGGAAAGCTTGCTTGTGTCACAACACATTTGTCATTCTTCACGGTTCCACAATATTATTTGTGGTGGTTTTCCCCCACCACAACAGATAAGTATAGCTACCCCTCTGAAAAATATGTACATTGTGTTACACTCCTTGCTTCCCTGAATAGTTCTGGGGCAACACAACTTGGGTTTCGGTTTCCTTCAGAGGAAGGGTCACTGGAAGCATGTGGCATTTTGTAATATGTTGTTTATTTACAAATATTGGAGTAGAGTGGGGACATAGAGAGCCCCTGATACTGAGCCAGACCAGTGTCCCATCTAGCTCAGTAACAGCAAAACTGACAGGCAGTGACAAGGAACATTCCTAGCCCTACCTGGAGCTGCTGGGGATTGCATACAGAGCATGAGCTCCACCACTAAGCTGTGCTCCTTCCCCATGTACAGGTGGAAGCCAGCAGCATACACTCCTACGAAGCAGCAGTCTACTCCCTCACATCAGCCCCCATAGAGAAGCACCCCTTACCTGAATATGTTTCCTCCCCCATGGCTTACTCTCTGCTCTGTCCTTGCTCCTGTGTCGGTGTGTCTAAAAAATATACAGATATTTCATATGCCTTTGGAGTGGGGGGTGGGGAGTTGCGTTGCCTCTCCCAAGCACTCATAGTTTTCACATTCCAGACATTCCAAAGTAATCTCTCCCATTCAAGGCACTTAAGAAAGTTCTCCAGCTGTTTCCTAATCATTAGCTCCCATTGAGAAAACATCTACCAGTCTCTGGGCATTGAGGAGCAATCTGCCTTTTATTTTCTTTTTGCAAGTTCTAAAATTAGATGTTTCACACGGGAATGTAGCTTGCAAAAGAGCATGGTTTTTCATGGGAGTGGAGGGTGTTGGAGGTGGAGAGCAGCTTGTTTGTACACCTTCTTCCATTTTCCACAGCAGCTGTGAAACTACTTATTTTTGCACAAAAGGTACTTACTAGGCAGTTGGTCTGTAAGCCTCCCAATTTTACAGACTACCATGGATGGGGCCACATCAGAGAGCTAATTGCCATAGGTAGCCGGTTCCTCCAAGGTCAGAAAGAGCTGGAATAATAGAATTGTAGAGTTGGAAGGGACGTTGAGCTTTACCTGCTTCACCCCCTGCAATGAAGGAGCCACAGCTAAAGAATCCCTGACATATGGCCATCCAGCCATTGTTTGAAAACCTCAAATGAAGGCATTCATGAATACACACCGAAAGAGAAGGTAGAACTGCTCTTTCTCCTGAATATAACTGGGGAAGTCAGTGGAAAGCCCACAGGTTGAATGCCATCCATCACAGTTTTTCCTGTGTTTACTGAGCCCCTCTATGCCGTCACAAAATAATCTGCAGGAGAGCCGGTTGTTGCTGGAGTAGAAGGACAGCATTGGCAGGAATTGAGTTGCCTTTTCCTTGAGTATGAAGTCATTTGTATGAATTTGGAAGAAGTGAATAGTAAGGTATTGAGAAGGATTATGTCACTGGGGCATTAAAGGGTAGTCTTTTGTTTTGGTGGTTTATATATCTCATTGTTTTCTTGACGGAAGAACTCTGGCTCCGAATATGTTGGAAATCCCCCAAAATATGCCGTTGAAACTGGCATTCACCATACTGAGAGGTTGATTGCACTGCCAGAGGCTAAGAGAAGGGTCAGTAGCATATGAAAGGCAGTGATTCAAATAACTGGGGTTTAAAATGAAATACTATCTGCTGCAGAGGAAAGAAATAATCAGGATTTGAGAGAAGGAAGATCTACTGTTGACAGTAGGCATTAGCAACAGTTATGTGATGCTAAGATTAACATTGCCATTCACACGTTGCCAGGTCAAACCATAGTTAAAATCAACAGCCGTTTAAGATTCAGACCTAACACTAAACTGTGGTCATTTGCAAAACAGAACTCAGGATGAGCCTGAGGTTTGCTGTGGCTTGCTTCTTTCACAATAAACTATGATTTGTCCCGATGTCCAAACCAGCTCATTCTAAGCAGACACATTTTTTTCTACAGCTATTTCCTTTTAAATCATAGGGAAGACTCTCATGTCTACTCTTAGATCAGGCTCAGGAACAATATCTATTCATCTGTTTATTTAGGATGAAAAAATGAAGGGAATAATGCTGAGCTTTCAGAAAAGACAACAAAAGCCCCTCAGGATTTGCGCAGTGTGGGTTCTCATTTTTAAAGCAAGGGGAAGAAAGAACTCCCTAAGAAAGTTATCCTTGACATTCTTCTAGTCCTTTTAAACATCATACCTGCTTTGTGGGGAGGAGTTCTTAACTAACTAAATATGTATTGTTTAAAAATATGTGTGCTAAACCACATGAGCTTTATTATAACCCTGAAGTTGCTTCTCACTTTCAGAGAAAATACCTCTTTTGAACATATCCATTGTTTAATACATACTACATTGTAGAATATCTAGCTATGGGTTGAGCCTGACACACACACAGACACATACACAAAACTCTGAGGGGAGATTGTTTCCCCCAACAATACTGACAGGGCTAACAGTAGCTGCATTCATGTTCCATGGCAAGTCAAGGCTGCTGCTTTTTCATCAATGAACAACATGCTGGTGCCCGCTTCCTGGTCCTCCCTTCTTCAGTTTTACCTTGATGCAAGCAGGAAGCCACAGTTAAGCTTGGGCTCCCACAACATCCAAATTTAGGATCCTGCTTTGTTTCTCATTAACAATGCAACAGTTGCAAGTCAACAATAAGTTATGGTTTAAGGCTGGCTAGTGATCCTGGCTTGTTAAGGAGGCCCAAACTAGGTTCCTAGCTTCAGACATTACAGGATACAGGCTTAATTATAGCTCAATGGAAGGAGCAAAGGAGGGATAATGGGGCAGTGTAATCCAGTTTCTTTATGTTAAACCACAATAAGCCAGCAACTCCTGACTTCATCAGGGTGCAGGGATGGCAAGTATATTCTCCTTAGAGAAAGGGCAAGATAAAAATGTAATCAATTCATCTTGCACCTTGCCCAAGGTGCTAAATTTGTCTCCAGGTATTTGATGGTTTACATCTTTCTCTAGGAATTTTCTATACAGGCTAGTAAATTATATGTAAGATGTGCAGATGAAACAGCCTCCTCTTGCTAAAAATGCAAAGCAGTCATGTAGATCAGATCTTTATCATGCCACTAGGTGTCTTTGTTCTGGCACCTTAATTCTTCTAAACACTTGCTCTATGCTCAACTTCTGCCATTATTAATAGGGGTTCCTTCTGTGCAACTTCTGGTTGTTTGTTAAAAATTGGACAGTTTCTATCTTCATTACAACTGTGAGATTACTGTTTGAGAAATGTTGCTGAAAAGAATATGCCGTCTTAAAGTTTGCAGATGGAGTGTACCTGGTGCTCCTGATGGGTCTTCTTGAAGGTTACTTTGTGCCTCTTCACAGCTTTTTTTTGACTCCGGATAGTTTTGAACAAAAGGTAATTCTCCTGTTCGAATTTGTATTTACATTTAAAGAAGAACTGATGTTTCCAATGCTATGTTTTTCCAGAAAGCATAATGCAGAAGATTATTTGAACATTAATCCTGGAAGTTCTTTCAGTAATTATTTTTATATGCAGTTTTTTATAAATTTCTAACTTTTAAAATGATTTATACATATAAATTACTCCCTGCAAACCATATTCTTAAGTATTATACTGAACCTTGCTATGCGCTGTGCACAGAAACCTAGAATTATGAATGATTGCTGTCTCTTAATTAAATCACCAGGTACTCAATGTGTCCTTTGCGTTTGAGCTGATGCAAGATGGAGGGCTTGAAAAACCAAAACCAAGGCCAGAAGGTATATTTCTGAATAGTGAGAACAGACTATAAGCTTGCAGCTATAAATAAGGATGAATGGCTGAGTACTAAAAGCAAGAGAGACCATGGGGAAGGAATTCCACCTTTTATTTGATGATTAATTTGATTGACTGTTTCTTCCTATTTCCCTGTGCTAGAAGAAACTGATGGGAGTTGGAGCTGAACAACATGGGGAGCTCACCACATTTGCTACTTCTGCCTTAGATCTTGAGGAGACTAGTGCCAACCCTTCTAGAATCCCTTTACCCACTGTATTCCATAGGCCAGTGGTTCCCAGTTGGTGGTTCATAGACCCCAGGGGACTGCAACACCATTCACATAAAAACTACCATAAAGATATCAAAAAAAATTTTTTAAGAGGTTCCATGGCTTGGTTTTTGAAAAACTGGGGGGGTTGTCTTCAGTACTTTGCTAATGGGGAACCACTGCTGTAGGTCCTGTAGGCGAGTTATTGTGTTGGGTGTTCAGGGCAAATTGCAATTTTTGCATTGAACATTTGAGGCATTTGGAATAATATCTGGGGATAATTTGGGGATAAAATGACTTCTCATATGCTTCAGGTGTTCAGTGCAAGCTGCAGGGCAAGATTCAGGTAAGTTCTACTTTGAGGAGACCACTGAAAGTTACAGAAATGACTAATTTGGTTCTATAACCCTCAGGCTAAAAAAAGGTGAGGCTTCAAATAGCACTTCAGCTGTGTCTCTGTGTACCTCTTTGCTTAGGCTATGGGGACCATATTACCTAGCAGTCTTATGTTTAGTGTGTCTGTTCCCTTGAAGGAGTATTAGCAGGCCTGAAAATCTCATGTTGACTGGAATGAAGGTACCAATATTAGTGGCAACAGAAGATCTGTCTATCGTTAGACAGATGCATAACCAATTTTCCCCCCGTTTCCCTGTCCCTTCTCTCAGCCAAACAACTGTATTGGCTGCTGCTAGGGTAAATGAAATCAAATGAAACAAATTCATAATGCCTGTGAAACTCATTCAATTTGATTCATTTTTCTTTTTTAAGTTGTAGGAAATGAATGCACACCTCTAATGCATAGTCTCCAAGTCATTTTTATTTTGGTACATTTCTACCTTATTCTTTCACTTCAGTAGCTTAGGATATTGTTGTTTAGACGCATAAATTGAAAACATTGTGGGTGTAATGATACAATATTAGAAACACAGGTCATTAACTTTAGAGGCAGTTGTTCTAGGCTGTATTGCTTAGGTAGATTAATAGTGACTTTTAACACATGGCCTCAGTCAAAGTGAGGGGAGATAGCATGGGAAATCTAGAGCCAGAATGAAAATGGAGAATTGCTATGATCCCACATCCCTTGTGGACATTTAATGTCATTATAGCACTTCGGTTTCCCAGGTATTTATTGCTCAAAGAGATGGCTGATTCCACCCCTTGGTGTAAATCAAACCACACAAACGTTTCAGCATTCATTTACATGCTTATGTGTGTGTATATATATAGGACATTGCATGTGCAATTATTGAAAAGCTTAATATGAAACTTCCTGCTCAATGTGGATGGAAAAACACATCTGTTTTATATGTTGCTGCATTGGGCAGAATGCCCATGTTTAAAAATTGCAGTGAGCATAAGAAGACTGAAAAGAATCTTAATCTAACTGTGAATAGAAAATAGCTTTTTAATTTAATTCTTGCTTTGATAAATGGGTTTTTTAAATAATGGCATGATGTTATAAAAGTATTTAAGGATGAAAAATAACTGAAATGAGGCAACAGGTTTTCCCCCCCTGAAGCAACAACTGGGTTTCACTGAACAGTGAAGTGCTTTTCTTTTTCATACTCGCAAGCCTGAAATGCTCAGAGCAGGGAATTTTCCAGTATCTGTTTGGGGGTCTTGGAAAAGAGGCTTTAGGCTGGCTGCTGCCCCTGCTCTGTGGAGAAGCATTCCTGCTAAGATATAAAAAGGCACCCATTTCCCAAAAACAATGAAGACATGTCCCTCCCCCCCAACAAGACTTAGGTTTTAAAACAATACAAAATGAATATCTATTTTCACTTATTTCTTGTAATAATTTTAAAATTATTTTAGCTGGTTTTCTCGTATACGTTTGCAAAGCACCTTAACACATGCCTAAATAGTGAATCATAAATAAACAAATAAAAATACACCCAAGATGATCCTGCTATGGAATTTTAATATTCAAATCACCAAGGTATTTGTGGGGCTTTATTCCTCCGTGATAGCCCCTAAACCAACTGAATTGTGTAATAAAAATGTTATCGTATAATTAGACTTGCCAGCTTACCAAATGGTCCCCAAGTCTGGATCCTATAAAGACCTATGTAGCATAATGGGTTTCGGATGCTAGTAATTTCATTTATTTGTCATTTAGCTATCTCCGTCACTCTGATTGTGCAAATAATTTGCAATAGGCCAGCAGTTTTCATAAATATGCAAACGTATGGTATAACCAAAAGCTACACTGTGGACATTTACAGTTTGTACAACTAAAGATCAATGGGAAAATTTTACTTTGCTGTTCGGAATACATAAATCATGTATATTTTAGAGCCTTAGAAAATTCCAAGAAAAAATTAGGATTTCATGTTCTGTTGAAACTTATTAAAATGAATGGTATGTTCAATCTGGAGGAGTACTTAACAAAAGTAGGCTTTGCGTATTTCCCTTGAGATAAAATTACCATTCTCACGAATCAGATGGTTATTACTAAGGACAAAGACCTGAACTGCGTTTCTCAGTCACAATACTGAAAAAGAGCCCATAATGTTCAGTTACAGCTGAAGGTCTGACTCAGGCCTGCACTGCACAACTTGTGACCCACCAAGCCAAGCACAGTTCACCAACCCTTTCTTGTTACCTGCCAGGTGCTTCACAAGCCCATCTTTTTGGAGGCCCAGGCAGGCTCTAAAAACAACGTTCTGTCAGCTGCTTGTGAGCTATAACTAGATAGAGGGTTGGCTACATTCAGCTTGGTTGGTCAAAAGTTTGGTACAGGCCTGTTCTTAAATGAATGCACTTGTGGCTGGTTTTGAGCATACTGTTGCTAAAATCCTATTAAAGTCGACCAAAGCAGCTCAGCTCATATATGACTGCAGTATTTGCTTATAGAGGCAGATGCATGATGATACGTCTTCCAAATACGGGCTGTTTTATTTGTTCCCCAAGGTCATGAAAAGCTCAGCATTTCTTCCCTCTTTTTTTCTAGACATCGTAAACTGCGACTTAAAGTCAACTCTGAGGGTGCTGTACAATCTGTTCACCAAATACAGAAACTTGGAATGAAGAAGTCCCTTGGGATCCCACAGGTGGCTAAGTAAGGAACCAACCAACTCAACAGCCACTCCTGTTTTGCAATCGTTCTTTTACTTGTGTACTATACTTCCTTCACATGTTCCATATTCTTGCTATGTTTGTTTTGCACAAAAAAATGTTTTAAATTAGATCTTGTCTGCAGTCCAAAATATTATGAAGTGAACCTCTGCTGGAAGATGCATATTCCTTTGTTTTTACTAGCTCTTGATTTCTTGGAGAGCAAGCAAGAAAGCCTGATCCCACATCCAGGTTAAGAGAAACAAACTGATTTTGATAGAAATGCCAGCCTCTTCCTATGAGCTATGCTGCCACAATAACCAAGAAGATCACATGACACAGGTCTGTGCACTACTACATGGTGAATGTGCTATCTTCTTCTGCGGGATCCTCTCTAAGCCAAAGAATAGGTATGCCTGCTGTCTCTGGTGCTTTGGCAGCTGCTGCTGCTGCTTTCTATACATTACTCAGCTATGCTACACAAAGGACATAATCAGCCCAGAAAGAGGAGAGTTCTTTCTCAATGTGCTTAGCTCTTCATCAAGACAAGCTGGACTAGCAGCAGAACTGTGTTGCTCCCATATATCAAGGTAGCCAGGGACTCTCCCCTGTCCCCCGGGTGTCATTTTAGATTGTGGTGCAAACTGCTGCTTTTAAGAAGTAGATGCTCAGTTGTTCCATAGAATCAATCAGATCAAAATGCTTCAGTTTAATTAAGTTGTGGATTGAGCTGCAGGACATTTTCTCTGTCTGTGTTTATTGAATATTTATTTCAAAGAAAAGATCCATTGTATTCCTAATGAGATGTATGAGCACTATTACAAAGATCATGGAGAATGTAAGAGAGACAGACACCATAGGTGGCGTGATGCAAACTGAGCTATGAAACTGAGCTTCATAATTTGACTGACGCGGCTTATAAGGGTCCAGGTATGTGTCCCCTGTGCATACATTCCTCATCATTTTTCATTCCTTACAAGCTCGCAGATCATGCAGCTGTCCTTTAACTACAGTGCATTTAAAATAACCTGCAACATGTAGTATTTTTTACAATGTGATACTCTTGCCTAGTTGCAAACGCTGTGGTACAAAGTATGTAGATAGTTTCAGTATGGAAACTCTTTTTGCAACAAAGCACATAGTAAGTCAATGCAGTGGGCTTCTGGGCTAGAATCCAGGTGGGATCAGCCCTGCCAGGATATTGACATAAGCTTTGTTTACATAATTGAAACGAAACATAAAATGATGTAATTGGTACAAGTAAGAAACAGCTTTGGTGACAGAAGCAAAGGTAAAGGTTGTTCAAAGAAAGAATTATTTTTGCATACCTTGGCCTTTGGAGATCTAAAATGAATGAGAAATGTTGAACATTTTATGAAAATCAGGTTCTCTTGCATTATGATTATTACTAAGTCTAAAATTAATTTTTTTGGATTTTTGAATTTTAACAGGATAAGACAACTATATACTGTATACAGAAGAAGTTGTGATTTTTTGGGTATGTATTCTTTGCCAAATCCTGTTAAAATACAAACATTTTAATTTTAGGATCAGCACCAATAATTTGTGCTGCAATTTGTCCCATGCTTACTTTGTACAGAACATTGAGGGCAAAGTAGCTTACTTTTATTTATTTTTTTATTTGTCTCTACCAAAATGATAAAACCTAAATGTAAAAAAACATCCCATACCTATCTTATACTGTGTGGTTCTGATTTTAAATATTTCTTATGCTTAGTGAAGAGGTGGTGTGACTCCTTTAGTTAGTTCACATTTGATTTGTTTTTTTGTAATTCAAGTAAAGGGGTTAATATTGTATAAGGACATGCCTGTTGCCTTCCTGATGCTGATCGGTTGCCTCTAGATATTCAGTAGCCCAGGGGCCAGTCATCATCTTCATGTTAGTAAAGGTGCCAAGAGGTGACTATCCCATCAGTTTTGTCAGTTGACCATCACTTCTGCCTTGTGTGGTGAGAATGGGGGGTGGGGAGGGGCATAATGTATCCAGGTAAAACTCATTTGCGATATGCATATGTATATGATAGGTTACATACCATTTTTCGCCACATGAGGGTGCATACAAACAGCGTAATCACTGCACAAAAAATAGACACGTCTGAATTATCTGATAGTGGCTTTTAGGGTAACCAGATATAAAGGCTCCTATGCACCTAAGAGTTCTGTAAAAGAGGGTCAAGCAGGTGCAACTTTTCTCCGTTCTGGTAGAGATGCTTCACCTCTTGAAGTTAAGTTCACATATAGAATCTTATCTAGGAACCCGGCCTTCCTTTGCATCTTAATTATTTTTACATTTTTTATTAAAAAACCCATCATGAATATTAATCCTCTAATTATACTGGCAGACATTATACACTGGATCAGGATTTAATGTACAAAAGGAGGTGAGATCTAGCTGAAGCTGCTACCAGGGAAAGGAAAGGCAGCTATTCTTGCTGTAGCCTCCCATGCCACCTGCCATTCTGTTTCTGGGGGTCCTCCAACTCTCCAGAACGGGGGGGGGGGGGGTTTGACCAAAATAGCCTTTGCTGCCTGCTTCTTCCAGCAAGAGCATCCTGTAAGCAGTGTTCTGTTCATGGGAACTCTTGATCCATCCCACAGGCATTAGATGATGCACCTCACATGGTTGATAATAGTGTCTTTTCCTACTGCAACATTAATCTGCTGGCTGCAACTCTAAAGGTAGCTACGTGAAAATAAATTTCATTAAAATCAAGGGGAGGGACCTGCTCCTTTGTGAACAGCACAGTGTTTTCAGGATATGGTGCTTTCTGCAATCACATAATTGCCCTTTCTTTGTCGCTTTTTACTCAAAATAGTAGCTTTTTACTCAAAATAGTAGCTTTTTACTCAAAATAGAGTTGTTCTGGGCTAATTTGGTAATATTGGAAAGCACTTGACTCTGGATAAACACGAAGCAACTCCTCCATTGCGTCGCTGGATTAAATATGGGGCAGGGCTGTATTTTCATAGAAGGGATAATTTTAGCAGATTAACCTCCCAGTATAGGGCTGCTGCAGCAAGAGAGAATCAGTATCTGCCAAAATTCTACTTTTATCTGCAGAATTAATTTTTAAAAGGAACAGAACCCCTTTCCCTCTATTTAATGACAACACAATTCTGTAGTTTCATGTTTATCTAGCTAGCCTGAGACTGTCACTTCACATTGTGACAGGCTAAATGCCCGAGACTAAAGTTACCAACTTTTATTAACCTGTTTCTTTGCCTTTAACAGCACATTAATTGAAAAAAGGAATTGATTCATAGGAAATATGGCTGCTGACGCTCAAGGGCGCCATATATTTTTAAATGAAAGTTCTGTTTAGCAGTATTAGCTTTTTATATGTCCTTGTTTGGGGGGGGGGACCAGTTGCTACTAGGGGATCAAAGTGAATTTGGGAGACAGGAGAATGGATGGACTAGAAAGTTATAAAATTTACCCAGAACCCGCTTCTTCAGTGCCTTCCTAGGAAATGCCTCTCCATGGTCAGTGTCCTCCAGGTTTTGGTTAACCAACTACCAGTTACCAGCTTCATTGCCCTTTGAACCAGTTATTAGTTTTCATTTTAAAAGTTCAGGACAACAAAGAGATTGTAGGTATTGTTCCAGCTTACTGAAATATATTTTTCTAAATGGGTATTTCGCTATAGATTCTGGTTCAGTTTGGTTTGGTCCCCTTGAACTGCAGCATGTTTCATCTTGCGCACAGGTTCCAGGCAAAATGCCATATGCCTAGTGGCTTCTGTTAGAGAATCAAAGTTAAAATCAAAAGCAAAGGACTATTGAAGTCAGTGGCTGCCAAGGAAAACAGAACATTCCCCATCCCTTGAAGTCATTAAGTGGGCATTGGATATCAACCTTATAGTTATGCTGAGCAAAAGGAAAAAATTACATCACAGCAAAAATATCTAGATTACCCCTTTTCAAAGACACAAAATGCAAAAAAGTCCTAGACTTCTGATATTAATTTTGCTTTGTTGAATTTCTAGATAATTATTAGCTGCTACATCATTATATTAGCATTTCACATCAGTTAGATTTGTATAAATAGAAACAATGGGTTTCACTCAGTTGTGTGTTAAAAAATAAATGGAATTCCATAGATAGGGGGTGTAACCAGGGCTTTTTTCATCCGTAACTTGCAGGAACTCAGTTCCGCCACCTCTCAGGTGGGCACCATTGCCATTCTAAGAGAAGGAAGGAGGTGCTCGTGGTGAGCACCTCTTTTTCTAGAAAAATAGGACTGGGAGTAACTGATGAGTTTAAGCAGTGTGAAACATTAGGCATGTCTTGTCATTTTTAGAGGAAGCTTAATAGTTACTTATGCTGAGAAGAAAATGCTGGACTCTGTACAATATAAACATTTACATTGAATGAATGAACAAAATGTTGAGTATTTAACCAAGAAGACAGCCCCTTGCCTAAATAAAGACTAAATGTTTTGGCAAAAAAGCTACCTAGTCCTTTCTACAGTGATGTAGGGTGATAATGGGTGGATGTTACATGTTAGAACCATTAATTAATTGGAAAGCAGCTTTCTGACAAGGACTGAAACATCCCCTGTAATTTGTGGAATGCTAGATTATTTATTGTTAATCATGCAGGTACTAATAGTGGTTATATTTACGTATCTTATTAATGTTTTGCAAGCTTTCTTCTTGAAGGTGTAGAAGCTTATGTCATACTGAGAAATGGGAAGGTAGTTGTATTCCTGATCCAGCTACGCATGTGTAGCAGCAACCAGAGCTATACACATGGAGCCCAGTCAGAAAAACAGCAGTCACACCAAACGTTGGTGAAATGTAGCCCTCTCAACTCCCCCTTCTAAACATGGTTGCCTCTTTCCAAAAAGCTCTGGCAGCTAGATTGGTGAAGAAGCCATATATGCAGTACCCATATGCATGTGAGGTTCCTTTTCAACCTCCTAATTGGATATGGTCCCTAGTTAGATCAGGTTGTCAGGCTGTGGATGTATAGCTCTACGCACATGGCAAATTGACCTTTATGGTGCACAGGGCTTCCCCTTTTCATAACTTGGAACAGGAGAATCTGCTTGAACACCTAGGGTTCCATTGCCTACTTTTTAAGTAATATCCACCAATAATAAAGTTGCTGGTAGCACTTTCTTTGTAGAATAAATTAAACCTTTCAGGAAGTAAGATTAATTATTCCTTAGATGTGTCTTTTGTTGAAATTCCAAGGTGCTTATTTGAGAATGGAACCAGCAAAGTATCTTGTGGGTAAATGACAGCTGATTCCATCTTCAAAAACACAAGTGATTGACACCTGGGGTCATGAAGGCCATTGGTTTGATTTTGCAAAAGTAACTAAATTGGTGAGCGCGTGTATGTTTCGTAGCAAGTATTTGTTTTAATTGAAGAGCAGTTTCTACAATTATACAGGGACACCTATAAACATGAAATAGTTTAATTATTTCCATACCCAAGCACTAGTTGTCCTATAAAAATGGATTCTGTCTTATATTTCTAATAGAGAATTATCACCTATAGATTCTACAGATTATATCTAGTATTTATTGCATCTGAAAAATATAGAGAAATATATATAAACAGGTTTATTTCTGTATAAAATATAGACTTTTTTAAAAAAATTGGGCAAACTAGAGATATTAGTTATTATAAATTCCTAGTCTACATAGGATTTGTTCCCTAGATTATTGTTAAAATAAGGAGAGTTTTAGGGTGAACGGGGCTATATTTTTAATACTAGGGTCAGAATGCATTTTATAGAGCATGATAAAAATGTAAGGGCAGCATTGAAATTACCTCATTCCTCTGTTGGACCAGTATTCTTAAAAGCATGTAGTCTGATGGGCCTGATAGCAAGACCAAAGCAAAAACTACTGCCTTGGAGTGCTATAAAACTGCCACGGGGAACAGAATTTTATCTGTTTCCAACACCGCTTCCCCCTCCTCCATTCTGGTCTCATTGAACACTAGCAAACCTGCAGGCAGGTTAGCTTGGGAGGTGCCAAGCATCTGGACTGGACCATTCTCTCCTCCATTAATTCTAGGAGGGTCCCTTTTTTCTATGTTCTTTGACTGTTGTGCTGTTCTTTTTTGCTGACTGCCTTTTAGAGGAAAGCCTATACCTAAAAGAGCAGTTTGCCACCGGTATAAAATGTGTTGTGGTCTTGCCTCTTTTGACATATCCTGCAGTCAGTTCATCTAAGAAGTAACATACGTGAAACGTATTGGGGTGAATCCAATTCTGCCAAGTGTGGTGTTAATTCCATGCACCAAGGTACAGCTAGATATTAAGACTGGCTAAAGGGACAATCCAGAGAACCTACTTTTTCAAAGATAGAACAAAAGTTTTTAACTTCTGTGGTTTCGGAGGAAAATATCCAATTTTGTTAGAAGGCTCTCAAAAAGGCACAAAACTGGCCAGGCTACGTAGTCAGGAACGAGAGCTCATATGTTCTGCCTTCCACCACATTAATCTCCCAGTCCCCTCCTTATCTTATATGTGTGTAATCTATTTCTTATGAGAAATCTAGGCCTCGAAAGTGCTTCTGTTGATTCTACGGGTGGAGGTGCAAGAGATTCTAGGATGTCTTTGATTATGTATGATGATTGCATTTAGAAGAGATTTTTATAGAAGGCTCACAGCAGGAGAAATTTGTTAATCAATACAGCTTGCATGGATATTAAGATAAATGGCACTTGATCAGTGTAATTCACCTACTTTTAATATTGTTGCTTTCCAAATGAATCTTCCTTGTATTCTTTTCATGAATGTTTTGTTCCATGCCAACACTAGCACAGCTAACTAAATAGTTTATTTTAAAAGTGATGCTTTTATTTCAGTAGTCAGAAATCTATATTGGTTTTGAATTCGCTTTTTTTAAAAAAAGAAAGTTGAGTTTTCTGTCTGAAAATGCCCTTTAAATATACACTACAGAATATAAAACCTCAACATCCTTTATATATATATAAAATGGAATTTCCTTACCAGTTAAGTGGCAACATGTTGCCAAAACGGACACTCAGTAAACTCAACCTCCATAATTTTGCAAGCCATTTTATAAAATCAAAAGCTTGGGGTCTAAGTCTTTGAACTTGAATTCCCTCCTGTGCACTGGGTGGGGTATAATCAATGAGCATTAGCCCACTGCACTGAACAGGCCAACACCATGCGGTAACTGCTGTTGTGTGTATGTGTGTTCTTAATTCAATTGTAAATCAGCAAAATTCTTCAGATTAGAAAATTGTATTGAAATGCATATTTCAATCTAATGTTATGTCGGAAGATAAGCTGTTCTGTTTTCATCTGGTATTGGAAATACTGTGAGTTAATAACTTCAGAACTGCAGGTATTCCATCATCCAAAGAATGCTGATTATCGTTTAACATTAATTGGTGTTCAGTCCTGTGCATACATTATTGTCTGTAATCAAGTGTATCAACTGTTACACATTTAAAAGGTTGCTTTTAATTGTATTTTGTCTAATAGATTGCAGATTCAATAGCATTTATGAAAATAAAGGTTATGTATGCTGTGAAATTGTACATGGTATCTTGTTTTTCTTCTGGGATTTATTTATTTTTCTTGGCACTTAAAGCATATGCCTTCCCTGTCTAATAATCTTTGAGAAAGTTGCTAACGTTTGCAAAGATCCAAAGAACCACACAACTAAAGAACTTTAGTTCCTCTCCTTCAAAAAGCTGCCACATAGAATTCAAATTGTGACACAATAAAATACAATATAAGAAATAAAAGAAGCAATAAAGACATAGAAATCCTATGTATGGATGTGTCATCTCCAACATCAAATCCCCAGACACATAATGGACCACATGAATGAAGGTCATGGGCCATTGGTGGTCCATGGGCCACAGTTTAGGAACCTCCGCTCTAGAGGGGTGGGGGAGGCCAAGCACAAATATAGTAGTCATTTATTTGCTTAATTTAAAATATTTTTATACCACCTGTCATGAAAAAACTCACAATAAAATGCACTAAAAATGCACTCAAGAAATTCAACAGCATTTTTAAAGTCAGGACAAGAGTTGTTTCAAAACGTACATCACAACAGACATACTTTAATGAGCTGGGAAGGCTTCACTGTTGGTGCCTTCCTTGTTTCAGAGGGGAATTGCACAAGAGGGTGTGCCACAAGTGACAAAAACCCTTCCAGTAACTGAGATGAACCTCTACAGGCTGCGGTACCAGCTGGAAAGTCTCAGCAAAAGATCTGCATGACCAGGTGAATAAGGTATATGGGAGGAGGCATTCCCTCAGAAAACCTGGTCCCTTATAGGTCAATACCTTAAGTTTGCCTTGTAGCAAATAGGCAGCTGGGCCAGTTCTCTTGTAAAAGGTATTAAATGCTCATGATGGGACACTTCATTCAGCCATCTAGCTGCCACATTCTGCATTGGCCGAGGCTTCCAGACCAACGTTAAAGGCAGCCCTGCATACAAAACATTCCAGTCATGAGGTTATCATGTAATCCAGTCATGAGGTTATCATTGCATATGTCACTGTAGCAAGGCTATCCCTATCCAGGGAACACCAATCATTGGTGCACCAGCCAAAGCTGCTAAAAGGTGCTCCAAACCACTGTGGCTACTAGGATGCCAAGGATAACAGTTCAAAGCAAGGAGCATCCTCCACATTACATAGCTGCAATTTCAAACGGAGTGCAACCTTGTCTAGGACAAGTAATCTGCCCAATTCCTGGGTGCAGGGACCACCACTGTGTCCAAGCCTCAATCCAGAACTTGTATGCCCACACCTGACTTTGTTCCCCAAAGCACATGATTGTGCAGCCATTAACCACACAACCCGAATAACCTTTCCTCCTTTACACAGCCACATAAGTAACACCACACCTCATATATTTTCATCTTCCATACAACACCTGTCAGAAGCCAAAGTCAGGAGCAGGTCAGCAATAAACACCGGATGTCAGTGAAGTTAACTCTTTAGTCAAGGAAAACCAAACAGCACAGGCCTAGTGATCACAGCAACGCTTCCCAGTAGATCAGACATAAGTAAACTCAGCCCTCCAGATGTTTTGGGACTACAACTCCCATCATCCCTGATCACTGGTCCTGTTAGCTAGGGATGGTGGGAGTTGTAATCCCAAAACATCTGGAGGGCCAAGTTTGCCTATGCCTGCAGTAGATCTTGCCCCAATAAGACAATTATAAGTAATGAAGGTCCCTCCCTTCCTACCACTCTCTGGTCTTTCCCAAGCAACCTGAGTCTCCTTCATATTGCCTCTCTTTGCTCCACCCTCTTTATTCATCCTCTGGGAGACCCCGGGAGGGGAACTAGTCACAGCAAGAGGGGGAGACACCCTGGCTTCTTCAGCAGCCTGCCCTGACTCTTCTCCAGCCTCTGCTTCTGGACTGCCCTCTGCCACAGTCTCTTCCTGCTCACTAAACCTTGTTCTCCCTCTTCCACTTCCAACACCACCTCCTCCCAGCAGTGGTGGAGGAACCCTTTCCGGCACCCGAGTACCTGGTGGCAAGTCCTGCTGGACTGCATGATCCCACAGCAGATGCTAGCGTTCAGGCCACAAGTTCAAACTCCAAAGTCAGACCAGGTTCCTGCCTCTGCAGCCAACCCAGATTTCAAGACACCTGGAGGTCAGTCCCGCATGAGCACAGTCGGGAAGAGCTCCCTGGAACAACCAAGCTGTGGTCCAACCAACCTGACACAGCACCTCAGCTCTGCTTTCTTTTTATACCTTGCATTCTGATTGTAGCAACTGTGCTTGATGAGGCATGTGACCCTCACCTGCTCCCAGCCTACTCTAGCTGAGGAATCACACCCCTCCTCCTAGAGCTAGCGAGCCCCACCTGGCCAGCTAGTGAACTGGGCTGTGGGTACTTGCCTGCCTTAGCCTCCTTGAGCATATCTTCCGCTGCTCCTTACGCCTCAGAGCCCACTGTGTTCGAACTGTGTCTTGGAAGCCATGGAGAAAAGGTGTTGAGGGGGATTAACAGATGATGTGTCTGTTGAACATTCTTTTCTTCTTAACAACTTCTGATTTGTATATAATTATGCCTCCTACATTACATACAAACACAGCAAATCAGTGTCTACCACACTAGCAATAAAGCAATAAATTAACTTGGCCAACACACAAACACTTTTTACAAGCAAGAGATATTAGATCAGTTTTCGCTTACCATAAATTTTTATGAGATCATGTTGGAAAAACACATTCTAAGAAAGAATTTAAAAGGGCCAGGGGGAAAGCCACAATAATTTATCTCACCAGTTGATTCCCTTAACAAGTCAGTAAACTAAGCTACTTGAAACCATTCTCTGTTCACATGTCTGAAGAAGGAAGCAGAAGTTGAAAAAGTGGAATAAACGAATTTATTTTTCTACATTTTTTTTTACTGTGAGATGAAAACTGTGGGACAAACAAGACATGGAAGGACAGCCACATGCAATCCTATACTCTCATCTGGAAGTACATCCCATCGATCCCAATGAGATTTACTTTTGAGTAGTCACTAGTCACATACAAGATTGCATCCATTGCTGCATTCACATGCAAATGGAAGCCCCATTTAAAAAAGATTAAAAAATGAAATAGCATGTTTGGTTGCAAGGAGACACTTCTTGTGCTCTGCTCCGTCAAGCTATTTTTCTCCAGTCATGGCTAGCTGCTGATGTTGGAGCTGGGCAGGAAGAAAAGCTCTTGCAGAAATAGTGGGGAGAGAGGATTTTTGTCAGTCACCCAAGCACTTTCATTTTTTGTTGTTGTTAATACCACTTCCCCTCACTTTATCTGTGAATGGTTAATAAATGCATATGGATGCTTCCTATACTACAGAAATTACAGCTGGAACTAGCTGGAACAAATTAACTTTCCTTTGATGTGCCTGGAATTACATTTTCCTCAATAAGTAATTTTGTTTTAGTAATTCTTGTTTTGCCCTTGATTTGCTCAAAGCTTTTTAACCTAGGGAAACATTGGTCCAAGCCGCTTTAGATCAAAATGTCATATTCTAACCCAAATTTACTGTCTATATGTGACCAGAAGTCCAGATAGTTTTATGAAGCAAGAAACTAGAGCAAGAGTGACATACAAACTATTACACTATTCTTGAAATGTGTCCTAAATTAAATACAGACTGTACTTAAAAAGTGCATACTTCATCTTAGCAATGGAAGCAAATACATTCAGAATGCTAGTTGAAAAATGCCAGCTGTGCTGGTAGATTGGATTCCTTTTAGGTTGCTATTGTAAACATTTAAACATTAGAAAACACAAATGTTAAGGTTACCATAACTCATCTCCTTTTAATTTAATAGCCATATTGTGTTGCACACTTTTATAGCCATATTGTCACTGATATTTAAACAGCGTTCCCAATTTAAATCAATGATTAAATGGCACTGTATGACTCACAGCACAGAGTATTGACTGGCTTTTGTTCAACTCACATCAGATTCAAGATACATTATTTACACCTACCTGAAAACATAAATCTGGCATTTCAAGCTGCTCCAATTCACAGAGTCTTGGGGCAGAATGGGTCATGGAAAGGGTAACCTAGTACAGAGGTGTAGGAAGGGGCATGCGGTCATCCCTGAGGGGGTGACAAAATGGCACACCGCGGGGGGGGGGGAACACTTACCACAGGGCCTGGCCTGCAGCGTGCCCGAGCCACGTGTCTCTCATGGGTGTGACGCAGTGGCTCGGGGCCCCGCTCTGCCTGAAATGGCAGCGTGGGGTTTGTGTCCGCCAGGCAGACTCTGTGGGCCCCGTTGCTCTGGGTGCTGGAGCAGCTAGCTACACCCCTGACCTAGTCTAGATCTACAGAGTGATAGATGTCAAGGTAAGTTTATCAAAAGTACCAGAAGTTTGACTTTTTTCTCCACACAAACTGGTGGTGGGTGTGCTTGCATATGTGTACAGTGCTATTTTGTGATGGTACTCATGATTAGAAAGTACCATCACCCTTTTCTTTTTTGTTGCCCATGGCAGCCATTTTGTGCTGGCATCCACAGCACTTTTATCAAGTTCCAGCGGCTCTTGAGCACCAAGCAGCTCATTTATTATTTGTCTCTCCATTCCAAAGGTTCAGTACAGATTTCGTTTCCCCTTCAGCAAAGTAAAATAATATATAATCTAAGTTTTACAAAGTTGTTTCTCAATCCTTTTCTGACTTTACAGGCATGAGGTGGAATCAAGGAATAAGAAGAGAAGACCCTTATGGAACAGTAAGTGGTTGAAAAACAGGAAGCAGAGAGTAAGAATAAGTGGACAATTCTCTCAGTGTAGAGATGCAGAAAGTGGAATTTTCTGGAATGGCATTGAGACCTGTGCTTTTTAATGCCTTAATTAATGATCAGGTTGGGGGATGAGCACTGAGGTAGCCAAGTTGCTGATGATATCAAGGTAGTGGGAAATAGAAAGGGCTCCAAAAGGATCTCTCCAAACTGGGCAGTAAAATGTCAAACACAATTCAGTGTAAGCAAGTTAACTGGAGAAAAAAAATATTAATTTCTTATATGGTTTCTCAACTGGCCATGACCG